CTTTTGCCGTCTGCACCCTTGTTGCAAACTAGCCCTGATTGGCAGTCTCCCTCTCCAGAACACAGCTCGCAGATACCTTTTGGCGGCGTTTTGCACACTCCAGCGCGACACTCTAATTCATTCTCGCATCCCCAGCACGGGTCGTTGCACTTGCCTCCTTCAGGCATGGGCTTGGCACACACGCTTGGCTTCTTGCTGTCCTTCGACGGCTTGCAATACAGCCCCGACACGCAGTCGGCGGTCTTCTGACAGACGTCGCACTTGCCTCCGTTCGGCTTCTTGCACACACCACCGCGGCAGTCCAAGCCCTTCTTGCATCCCCAGCACGGGTCGTTGCACTTTCCTCCTTCAGGCATGGGCTTAGCGCAGACGGCTTTTTTTCCGTCCTTACCCTTCTTACAATACAGCCCGGTGGAGCAGTCGGCAGTCTTCTGACAGACGTCACATTTCTCACCTTTACCCTTCTTGCACACGCCGCCACGGCATTCTAAGCCCTTCTTGCAGCCCCAGCACGGGTCGTTGCACTTGCCTCCTTCAGGCATGGGCTTGGCACACACGCTTGGCTTCTTGCCGTCCTTCGACGGCTTACAATATAGCCCAGCGGCGCAGTCCGCGGTCCTCTGACAGACGTCACATTTCTCACCTTTACCCTTCTTGCACACGCCGCCACGGCATTCTAAGCCCTTCTTGCAGCCCCAGCACGGGTCGTTGCACTTGCCTCCTTCAGGCATGGGCTTGGCACACACGCTTGGCTTCTTGCCGTCCTTCGACGGCTTACAATATAGCCCAGCGGCGCAGTCCGCGGTCCTCTGACAGACGTCACATTTCTCACCTTTACCCTTCTTGCACACGCCGCCACGGCATTCTAAGCCCTTCTTGCAGCCCCAGCACGGGTCGTTGCACTTGCCTCCTTCAGGCATGGGCTTGGCACACACGCTTGGCTTCTTGCCGTCCTTCGACGGCTTACAATATAGCCCAGCGGCGCAGTCCGCGGTCCTCTGACAGACGTCACATTTCTCACCTTTACCCTTCTTGCACACGCCGCCACGGCATTCTAAGCCCTTCTTGCAGCCCCAGCACGGATCGTTGCACTTTCCTCCTTCAGGCATGGGCTTAGCGCAGACGGCTTTTTTTCCGTCCTTACCCTTCTTACAATACAGCCCGGCGGAGCAGTCGGCAGTCTTCTGACAGACGTCACATTTCTCACCTTTACCCTTCTTGCACACGCCGCCACGGCATTCCAAGCCCTTCTTGCATCCCCAGCACGGATCGTTGCACTTTCCTCCTTCAGGCATGGGCTTAGCGCAGACGGCTTTTTTTCCGTCCTTACCCTTCTTACAATACAGCCCGGCGGCGCAGTCGGTTGCCTTCTGACAGACGTCGCATTTCTCACCTTTACCCTTCTTGCACACGCCGCCGCGGCACTCGAGCCCCTTCTTGCATCCCCAGCACGGGTCATTACACTTTCCGCCCTCTGGCATGGGCTTGGCACAAACCGGCCCCTTCCCTGGCTTGCCCTTTTTACAGTAGAGCCCGGGGGCGCAGTTGCTGGTTGCCTTGCACGCGCCGCACTTGCCGACGAGGGCGCTCTGGCAC